TTTGAATTGAAGAATAACATGCGTTCACTCATATTGGGAAGTGAAGAATTCATATTATTATATTCGAAGTCGATAAATCGCTATTTTATCTTCTCAAATCAGATTTCGGTAAGTCGAATGATGTTTCGATTTCACGCATATTAACGACATTCTCTTGATGAATATAATATGCACATTATCGGTGTAATATCTTTTACAAAAGAGTGTACATGTAACATAATTGTTGCAAAAACGTGTTCCTCCAAAACTGCAACTCTTTAAGTATCAACTTGTACGGATGGCCGTGGCAACCCATGATTGGTGCTAAACACTTAACATGGATCGTGCTTGTTGAGGTGGATTGTGAATCGTTGGATCCAATCCACGAATGAAATTAAGTCTTGGTCAATATGACCTCCTAGCTTGGACGGTTCATTCACTCCATTCATTCTTTCGACTTCGTTTTGAGTTATACTTTTTCTCTCTCTACTCTAGTCTTCTTCTTCGTTCTGATTTGCGATCTCTTATGAGATTCTAGCCATGAATCCGTGTAATCCTATGTGATTCTTATTGCAACAGTAATTCAAGCTTGAGATATTGGCTGATTAGTTCGTCTATATAGTGTTTAGGGTTCTTGATTGATTCTTGGTTAAGGTTTGTGATTTAAAAGACCTACCTGTGGATATATGGTTAAATCCGAGTCTGATTTGGTTCGACATTATTTGTAATCTCTCTTGGAAGATTTTTGGTTACACTTAGCGTTTGGGCTGATCTCTGAGCCCCCAGATTAGGTGATTGCTAAATTGGGTAAACAATTTTCTGCTTTGTGGTTGTGTTTATATTTCATCGATTTCATATTTTTCGGAATAAATCCCAACAACTATAAAATTCTCTTATGTATATTTTGCTTGGTTTCGCATTTGGTACCAAAAACTTAGTGGTAGTTTCTATTCACTCATTTTTTGCCATAATGTAAGTTGTCTTGAATAAGATCATTTGATGTCTTTAAGATAATCTCCCCTTTTACACAATCTGGTGAGGATTTGATGTTCGAACTGTCTTATTTTGATTGACAGTGTGATTATGCTATATAGAAGCAGCAAATGAAGTCTCTCAAGGCTCTTGATGGTCCAGCTACATTTTTCGATGCCTTAAAAACTAAATCTCGCCAAAATTGATGTTGGGTTTTGGGTATAGGGCTTCGCGTTGTGGAGTATTAGGTTTGAAGATGACAAAATAAGGTCCAAGAAGGAAAAATGCGGATTGACAGCGTTAGACAGACACCTGCTTATAGCTTGAGCGATATGAGCAAAATTAGAACATGGAGTTCATCGCCCGCCTGTTGCTGAGCAATCGCTCGAGCGACAAGCCGTCGCCCGCTTCTCGCTCAAGCGACGGGGCTGTGGATTTTTTCATTCTTTTTTTCGATTTTACGCGAATTTTTCACATAGTTTCCATATTTTAGGTTAATTCTAGGGTTTGGATGTGTCTCCTATAAATAGTAGACTTTTCATTCAGTTTATATATCGGAAAAGGCAGAAATTGTATTTTCTCTCCTTTGGTTGTTATTAATAAGATATTCAGTTCCTCTGTCAATTTCATCTTCTTGTTTATTTTCTTTTAAATCTTGTTCTTGTTTATTAGTTTATGCGACCTATAATTTATATCGTGTCATATCGCCTCCTCGAATTCCTAACAAGTTATATCAGAACCAAGGTTTAGCAGTTCCATAGTGCAAGGATTTGATTGTTTGAGGTTTTTTTTGTTATCGGTGGCTACCATGAAGTATGATATTCCGTTGTTGGATCGCAGTACAAGATTTTCATTGTGGCAAGTGAAGATGAGAGCTATATTGGCGCAAATGGATTTGGATGATATTTTGTTGGGATTTGATAGGATGCCCACAACTTGGACAATAGAGGATAAGCAACGGAAGGATCGCAAAACACTTTCGCAGATTCATCTTCATCTATCTAACAACATTCTTCAAAACATCTTGAAGGAGAAGACAACAACTACATTGTGGTTGAAATTGGAGCAATTGTGCATGACCAAAAGCTTGACCAGCAAATTGCATCTGAAGCAAAGGCTTTATTCTCATCGCATGGCAGAAGGCTGATCACTGGAAGATCATCGGCTATGTTTAAGGAGATCGTTGCTGATCTGAAGACGTTAGAGATAAAATATGATGAAGAGGACTTGGCCTTAATCCTGTTGTGCTCGCTGCCTAGTTCATTTTCATCATTTAGGGACACGATTTTGTACAATCATGACACGATTACCATTGAAGACGTGTATGATATCTTGCTCTCAAAGGAGAAGATGAAGCATCTGGTTGGAGCTGGTTCCAGAGATAAGGAAGCTCTTGTGGTTTATGGTGATCGGGGAAGGGGCAAGTCGAAGGTAGATTTGAGTAATAGGGTCTGCTTTTACTGCAGAAGAAAGGACACATCAAGAGGGATTGCGAGAAGTTGCAAGGTAAGAACAATTCAACTGCAAATCATGGAAAGCAATCAGAGACTTCGGGTGAAGCAGATATCGCAGAGAACTTTGTAAGTGAGGGAGATCTTTTGACGATTTCTGACGTGGAATCCAAGCCCGACGAGGAGTGGATTTTGGATACAGCTTGTGAGTTTCATATGAGTCACAATCGGGATTTGTTTGAATCACATGAAACCTTCTGTGTTCAACAGCAACAATACCTTTTATTACTTAGAACAGCCCATCGACCATAACCCTGAGTCAGATCGAAGTTGGTGGATGGAACAAGCAGAACACTTGGTCAGATTGGACATGTTCTAGACTTGAAGAAGAACATTATCTCGCTGAGTACCCTGGATTCGAGAGGGTACACGTTCTCTGGAGCAGGTGGAGTCTGCAAGATCCAAAAAGGTGTTCATGTTGTATTGGAAGGGCGAAGAAAATGCAAGTTATACATCTTGTAAGGTTGGGCATAATCGGTGAAGATACATCAGCACGGGTTTAGTACCGTGGTGGATATACAGTTTGGTATAGTACCGTTAGGAATTGGCTCTAGGTCTATTTTGGAGAATCTCTATCGAGTTTGAGGGATATGGGTAATTCCACTTTGCCACAACAGTTTACGGTTTCATTGTATTCAACGGCTAGGGAGAGACCCATTGGAAATAGGTACGAGGATGTTGATTTGAAAGTGCATGCTTTTGGAGTTGTTGAAGGTGACGAGTCTAGCCGTGGCCTTCAGTTAAAACATTTAGTGGTGATTCTGCTACAAGATGTGCTTTGACCATGTTTGGTAAATTTTGAATTCGTTGTGAATTTTGGGAACCCGGGGGTTGGGTTCATTAGTATCTGTGTTTGGATATGGTGGAAGATGAAAAGTATTTTCGAGTGTTGGCGAGGTTTGGTTTAGGTTGAAGAGTTCAATGTGTTTTCGTTGTAGTTGAACTTATTTTTCCAAGTAGAGAAATTTTGGAGCTCCGTTTGTTGCACTGAAATTTGTGTCAAGGTGGAGATTGTTGGGTTTTGTGACCCAAATCTGGTCCAAATTGGGTCTAGGGCTTCGCGTTGTGAAGTATTGGACTTCAAGATGACAAAATAGGGTCAAAGAAGGAAAAAATGCGGATTGACGACGCTGGATGGACGCCCGCTTATACCTCGAGCGATAGGAGCAAAATTGGAACAAGAAGTTCGTCGCTTGCTCGCCGTCGCTCAAGCGACGGGCTGTTGATTTTTTCCTTCTTTTTCAGTTTTACGCAATTTTTAACTCAGTTTCCATATTTTAGATTAATTCTAGTGTTTTGACACGTCTCCTATAAATAGTAGACTCTTCATTCAGTTTAGATAGTAGGAAAGGCAGAAGTTGTATTTTCTCTCAATTAGTTGTTGTTAATAAGATATTCGGTTCCTCTGCCAATTTCATTTTCTTATTTATTTTCTTTTAAATTTTGTTATTGTTTATTAGTTTGTGCGATCTATACTTCATATCGCATCATATCACCTCCTCGAATTCCTAACAATTGAAGCTATGAATGCAATTGCAAATGATTCAAAAAAGGCTAGAACTCATTTGTGCAATCTCATTCCATTGTTGTTCCCAACCATCATGAATAAGTCTTCCATGCAATCCCGTTCAATGTGTCCCAGACACATCATTGTTCAAATCTAGACAAATTCCAATAACAAAAATACCATCTTATCAAGATAAAGCATACAACTTTATCCACCAATTGCGAACAATATATTTTGAACATGTTATAAACTGCTCATTATACTCATTCCATAATGTATACAAATTGTAACATTTGCTGTGATCGTGAAAATTTAGACCAATAACTTAAAATAAATGTGAATAAATGATGAAATCAAATTAACACATTTATAACGTCGACGACGTTTACAAAAGAATATACTAAGAGCATCAAACTAACAATTGGCACACTGATTCAAAAATACGAAAGAGAACGCGTTTTCACTATTTTGAAAAATCGAAAACAGAAAATGACATGAAAATAATAAAGACAACAGACCCTAACTTTTCTTAAGGGCTACCCAGACATGCCCACTGAAACTGAATATGCAGATTTAAGGGAATATTGTTTTATACACTGTCTTAGGTTGTCTAAAACGTGTCGAGTCAACTCAGATATTGTAACAAGATAATCTAATCTCATTGATGCGAATAATTTAGTAGAATCTAAATAACTTCGTGAATCATTGAGTTGAGCTACACATTTTTAAAGTTACATATTGTAATGAGATACATCTAATCGTACTAAAAAGAACGAACAACGAATACACAGAATTCGATGTAATTTTACGCGTGCGATAGTGTGTAAGAGAGAGAAGGTTTCATGCAGTTCAATTAAGCCTCATAAAATATGAGAAACCATTACATGAAAATGTTTTAATTCTTGTTAGACATAGGTAACGAATGAATCTAATTAATTTTGATCCCTAAAATAATACCCAAAAAAAAAAAAAGCAAAAGCCACTACAGATCTGATAAATAATTTTTTTCTGAGCAGCCACCACTCTCTCTTTGCCTTTTTGCCAGTCAAATTTTAAAGCTTCATGTACCTGCTGCACCCTATAATTATTCCACAGCAAAGCAAACTGTATATATAATATAATGTACAATCCATTAGTTTACAGATCATGTAGAGATAACATGTTACAGCTCAGAAAAAGTACAACTTGGAAATCTTAATTTTTTTTCAACTGTTTAATCTCTGATGATACCATACCACCCTCACATGCTCATGTTCTGGTCACTTTGTAGCTTTACATGTGATGAAAAGATTCTCGTGGTCTATTTTTTGTATCGAACATGTCAACGTGTAGTGTAAGTACTTGTCTTTAACATAAGACGGTCGTCTAATACTTGAGAATATTATTCTTGATGTGGAAACGAGCATTGTGTGATGGGGATTCGTGCATTAAGTGTGCAAGAACCTATCTTTAATACGAGATTGATTAGACACGAGAACGGTCAATTTATGAAACACGAATACTTTTTTCGATATACTGTTTTGTAACGATTATAAGTAGAGCTAATATGTTGTTGAGAAATTGATAAACGTTACGGATCTCGTAAAATATATGATTAAAGTTAATTATTGACTATAACTTAGATTTTTATAACTTTATTAGCTAAATAAAAATGTGCTAAAATGTTGAGATTAATTACCTGCATTAGGAGCAGCAATAGATGAGGGCTTTGACATCAGGGCCGGAACTGTAGGGATTGGGCCAGATCCGGTTGGTGAGTAAATGTGGGCTGGAAGGCCCATTGCGTGTGACTGATGGAAATGGTAAAGAGGGTACATGGGCATCAATGCATTTGAGCTCATCATGGGCTGACCCGGATATACTTGAGAGAAATGCCCATTCATGTAGGTCCCACCTGTGTATCCCACCTTCTGTATTGAAAAATAAATAAAAAGATTCCATCAAATGTTTCTTTAAATTCACATATAATAAATTTGTGTTCTAATATGCAATCATTTTCTACTATTTTGTTGGAAATTAGTGTTCGAGTAGCATGTAGAGTCTCAAACAAAGTTTTAACATAATACAGTCCCAGTTTAGGCAGTCAACTTGGCTTTTGAAAACTCGAACGCATATATTCCACTTAGATGTGGTGAATGGGCCGAGCTGTTTACGTGCTCGATTTGTCTCGACTCGGTACATCGGTAGTTAAGAGCTTGTTTTGAGACATGCCAATGGCATAGTCGATACCTTTTTTTTACGAGCCGGCTCGAGCTATGAGCCAAAGGATCGAACTGTGTCATCCCATATTTTATTAACACCCAATCAACAATCATCAACTCAACCACTCGCTTGGCAGATTTAAAACCCGATTTATTCTAATAACAATTTAGAGCTTGTTTGTCTACCATTATTGGTAGAGAAATGGAGTATGGAATAGTATTTTTTGGAGAATGTGTGGTTGAAATTTAAAGTAATTTTATTGATTTGTGTGTGAAATATTTTATTTAGTGAATATGTGATTGAGATTGTTCACTGTAAAAAACAATGTTTGTAAAAATGATAGACAGACATGGACTTAGAATGTGAATATACTTACATGATTGTAGTTCATGTCTGTTGCAATGTAGGTTGGAGAATACCTGAAAAAGATAAATGTAATGTAAGTTGCAGGTGTAGGATAATTTAATAGTCCAACCAATCAAATTATGACAGCACATAAATACCCATAGATAGGAAAAGCTTGATGGTGCTGATGATGATGAAACGTGGGAGGTGTAGGTGCTCCAGCTGGATAATACCATTGCACGTGATTCGCAGGTGCTGTTGAAGTAGCCCTTGGTCCAACGTTAACTCCTTCAAATTTATGGAAAAATTATTATTAAAATCTCCATTTAATAATAGGAATTGTGAAAACATAAGATTTCAAGTTACCTTGCTGAGGAGGAGGAGGAGGAG